CTCTTCAATTCGCCACCGCGCTACATTGGCGAATATCGCGAATATTCGCGAAGCTAATGACGGCCGCACGAGCATGTCGCGCAATAATTAAACAGATCGAACGCACGCTCGTTGAATTTGCATTCAATCCTGCTCGGTCCTTCTCGGCGCTGTGATTTCCATGTTTATCAATGGATATTTATTAAATGCCCACCCCGTCGATACTCGTACTATTTAAAAGCGTTTTAGTTTTTTGAAAAAGTCATGGAACATTTAACGCGATGTGCAGTAGCTTGTAAAATGGATTTAAGAGCTCACCAAACCATTAAAATTAAGAATCATTACCGATAGATTTACACAGTAATAATATAATGAATAACATAATTAAGAACACTAAATAATAATAAGTAACAGCAATAGTAACAATAATTAATAATATAATTACTGGGCAGAGACGCGTCAGCAGTGACTCTCAATTTTAGCAGTTTGGCGCCGACTTCATTGCGTCTGAATCGTTTTGCAACTCACTGTCTGATGAGGGCGAGAGGGTGAAAGAGTTAGACGGTCGATAAAAAGGGCAATCCCGATCGAACCCGATATTGTTCGATTAGCGGTCTCGTTAGTGGACCATTTTCTGGGCGCCAAGATAACACAGGGTAGGATTAGCCTAGATTAGACGGCCGACGTGCGAGACCGTCGTTATCTAGCGCGCCCTTTCAGCGATTCTACACGTGGATTTATCGACGTGAGAAATCGATGCTGGTGGGCGCATGGGTGTTACTAGGGAGCGTGTCTACGCAAAAGCACTTTATTATGAACATCTTCGACGCCTCTCCCTGCAAAGTGGGCTGAAACACGCGAACGTCGCAATACGTCGCAAATTGTCGCAAATGGCGAAATGTGCCGCGAATCACCGGGAACAAATCAGAGCGCATTTGCGTGGACGCTTCGCGAAAGAACGTTTGCGTCTCGTGTCTCGCGAGCTTCGAGATCGCGCGACACGCAAATCGCAACAAACGGGACAATCGAGTCGTGAGATATTTTAAGCAAGGGAGAGGAAAACGACAACGAATATCACTTTCCGCTCATGGACGACTGTCTCGGGGTCTCGGCGGATTCTTGATCTTGGCGGCTTTCTCATTCGTTGCGAAAATTCGCGACAGATTCGGCAATTCCAAGGAGACTGCGGTAAAACGCGCATGACCACGCGAGAAAACTAATGACGGTGCACAAGTATCTCCTCCACGGGAAAGTTGCTCGATCGAGCGTCAGTCGACAATGCGCGGACAATGCGCAGCTGTCCGCAATAATTGCGACATGAACGTCACTCGTGACGAAGGAGGAACTCCACCCACGGGAACGGAGAATTGCCGCCGCAGTGGTCAGGAATTATTACCGGTGCGCTTGACGCTACTTTTTCATGAAACTTCTTGACCGGCTGAAGGTTGCGCGCTGGTCGATAGCGAGACTTCCGTCGTAAAGTAGGCAAAAGAACACCGTCGATTTGGCCGTCAGATAATTAATCCTTTCGTGCCGCGACGCATCGACATAAATGCGTTCCAATGGCGATACCGTATCGTTGCGACACCGAGATTTAGCCTCAAACTCAGTGTTCGCTCTGTTACCTCGCACGACCGGATGTTGACGTCGTCCCGTGATCTTTTGAATAGAAAAAGTCCGGCGCTTTTATGACTGCGCCAGGGAAAGCGAGCTGCTTTTCTGCCGCAGCTCTAACCACGCTCCCTCGCTCCCTGTGCCAACCGATACGATCCGAAGTATAAAGCAGCCGCATGAGATTATTAACGTTCACCTATCGAGCGAGAAAGGAACCTTTCTTCGTCTGCGACATTCGTCGGGAAAATTCGGACCCTCTTTGATGGAAACTGATGCACCGTGCGCACGGTACAGGGCACAAAGTGGATAAACAACAACGTAGATTTTTGCATTGTATTATTAATAGTCCTATAGTATTTTTAAGCCGACGGCCATCTACGTCAGTTGACTATCGGAGTGAAATATTTTTAGTTTGATCGATAGCTGCCACACGAGGAGAAGGCGAGTCTTATAGGGGCCGTGTAATTTGCATAGGTCGCAATCGCGCACGATAGTCCCCATTAGCATAAACGCTAAATTCATAATCGAATGAAGAAACCGGTGTCGATCGGTAGCAGACCACGAGCAAACGTCCGATTGATCGCGGGCTGCTACCTCGTCGAAGAGGTCGTGCGATTTCGCGTCCCGAGGGCCCACGGCGTCCACGGAGCTGTGCTCGATCCAAGAGGAAAGCTTGGACTACTGAATCGATTCGGAGAGTTTCCGCGAATTTCCTCACCAAACGCCCACTTCCTCGTTGTGTTCCCACCCACGCATACACACACATACAGACGGGCGCGCGCGTGCGAGATTTAGATTCGAAGGGATTTCCAGGGAATGGCAGATAAAGTTCCGCATTTCCTTCGACGTGATATCGCCGAAAAGTTTTGTCATCGTGTTACTAGGCCGCGATTTCCTGTCGTACGCAAACACAGAGTTGCCCGTAATGAATACTCCCGCGTTTTGTGACGCGAACACTCTCGTCATTCCCAGCATGATATATTGCTGCTAACGCGTCCTGGGTGACTCTCATCACGAATCACTACGTATTCCCGCAGGACACTGACCGCCTCCCGGAGGATTTGCCGCGAAAAGAGCCCTTTTCTCGCGACGCGTGCGGGTCGTGGGTCCTTAACTGCGACCCCTCGGGAAAACGAAACCTTTTAACGTGTCAAGAACAAACACGCGTGTTCTTTAATTGGATCGCTTATGTCTCGTAACGTGTCCCGGTTTGGGAATGTCACGGCGCGTAGGGAGATATCGACAAAACTAGGTGGAATAACATTAGCTGCACGAAAGTCCGGAGTGTCAATAATTTCTGGGGAACATTTGGCTCAAATAATTTTGGCTTTTTGATTTAACGTTTAAATAACTCGTCGCTCACTGAAGCAAGTCGATCAAGCCGAAAACTCGCGCGTTCCAGAAATACGTATAATATGTATATACATTACAACGTAATTGTTATTATAATATATATACAAGTCGCGGGGAGAAAATAATTTTTTGATTTGCATATGCGCTGCTCGTCACGCTCAGGTGAGCATCGATCGCGCTTCGATATCGTATTCGCATATATAACTGCGTTATCGCAGTTCAATCATCAGGAGTTAATTGCCTCGTGCCGTTGGTGCGTCTTAATTACCCAATTATCGCGATAGCGAGATATAACCGCGGGAGTGATATATTAATTATAAACCGTCCAACCAGTGCCCGCGTAATAATCGCGTTATTGGCGAACATGCTCGTAAAGCATGTTAACTACTTGCTAAATGAAAGTGTTTGGCTATCAAGTGGAGACTCTTTCGCGAATGTAGAACATCCACGACATCGTGCCACCGCTGTGTTGTCTAGTGCGACATCGCGCTTCCTGCAATGTTTATTGGGTCACGCACCAAAGTCCATTCGATTTGTACAGTCTGATAAAAAGTGTTAGAGAAAACTTTGTGGAAAATTTTCTCCTTCCTTCTTTTTCTACGGACGCGATATCACTTGGTGCGACGTTCCGTGAGAACGATCGATCGAATCAACTCACCTGCCAGCCTTGAAGCAGGAGACTTCTGTCGACGGTTCTGAGCCACATGACAGCGTCGCCGGCCTGGAAGTCCCTTAATCGGGTGCATTTCCTGTGCAGGAAGACGCCGAGGCACTTGAGCAATTCCGAGGTGGAGGCCTGGATGACGGTTTTCCTTGGTCCAGGGGGCAGGGGTTTCTGCACCAATTTCTCGCATGTTGGATTGTGCGTGGTGTGATTATTGTTCGACGCCGGTGCTTTTGTCTAATCGAGCCGGGAAGAAAGACAAAAACGGGGATAAATTTGTTAGTCTCCCGATGATGACGCGCTAATAAAAGAGAATATGTATATACATAGATTTATTTCTCTCTCTCTTTATTTCTAAACTCTTCTCCTTCACGTGACACAAATGCAAGCCAATGAAGGGGAAGGTTAGCGAGAGGTAAGCGATATCTTGTAAGGGACGGAACTACTCGTGCAATATGCCACACGAAAGAAGACATCGAAACGATCGATAGCCTTTCGATCGTGGCTGGGGTCAAAGCACGTTGTATATTTCATTCGTTACACTGTGAATCGCTCTTATCTGTCTTTAGATTTGACGTAACGCATAGGGATACGGCATATTATGAATGTGCGCTTAACAAAATTCGGCGGCGAATTTGCAACTTGTCTAAGAGCACACTTGTCTATTGAGCGATTGAAGCATTCGTCTCCCATTCGTTTGTTCCGCGTATCTTACGAGAAAATTTCGCGCACGATTGTCGAATATTTCTCTAGAATAACCATGTGGGATCGCAAAAAGCGCACCTACTTGACAAAGTGAAAATTTCGCTGCGCGACGAGAGCACTCACCTGCGGCGTTTGTATGTTCTTATTCTTATCAACGATAGGAATATTATCGAGCGGCTGTCTGAAGGCGATATTCTTGTTCTTGTTGTCGAGCTTCTTCTTGTTATTGTTCGCCGTGCTGAACCGCTTCCACGATAGGGCGTTAATGAACAGTGAATGCTTCTTCAGATTCTTCTCCAGAGCGTTCTTCTCCGAGATGATCCTCGCGTTGTCGTTGTTGTTCAGGTTAATGTTATTGTTCTGTAGCGAGTTGTTGTTGGTCGGCGGATGATTCGTAGGCGGCGCCGGCGCCACCGTTGCGACGCTGCTCTTATTCTCGCGATTTTTCGCGTTATTTAGCTGCTCGTAGTTGAAGTTGTTCAACGTGAAGTCGGCGGGATGCTGATGTCCCGCCGGCGGATAAACGGATCCGCGACGATCCCGCGGGCTAAACGACAACACGGTCCCCATGGCGGCGGCGGTACGGTGGTCCGGATGTTGCGGTTGCGGTTGTTGTTGTTGTTGTTGTTGTGGTTGTTGCTGTTGTGGCTGTTGAGTCGTCGATTGTGCCTGATCCCTGCCGCTCTGAGTCGGCTGAGTGGGATTCAACGTCGGTTGACGACTCACGTTCTGGCCTTGATGGGGATTTTCAGTCTCCTGTCCTGGATTGGTAGGATGACCGGGATTTTGCGCCGGTTGGCCAGCGGGATTCCGACTTGGCTGACCGGGATTCTGGTGATCTCCTGGATTGTGACCTGGGTTACCGGGATTGTGACCTGGATTGTCCGATCTGTGTCCGGGATTGCCCGGATTGTGTCCGGGATTGCCGGGATTGTGGTCAGGATTGTGTCCGGGATTATGTCCGGGATTATGTCCGGAATTGCCGGGATTGTGCCCGGAATCGCCGGAATTGTGACCGGGATTGCCTGGGTTGTGGCCGGGATTGCCCGGGTTGTGGCTGGGATTGCCCGGGTTGTGGCCGGGATTGCCTGGGTTGTGGCCGGGATTGCCCGGATTGTGGCCGGGATTGCCCGGATTGTGGCCGGGATTGCCTGGGTTGTGTCCGGGATTGCCCGGGTTGTGTCCGGGATTGCCCGGGTTGTGGCCGGGATTGCCCGGGTTGTGGCCGGGATTGCCCGGGTTGTGGGTCTGGTGGCCGGGGTTATGACCAGGGTTGTGGCCGGGATTTTGGGACTGGTGTCCCGGAGAGTGGGTCGAATGACCCGGATTCTGATGATGCTGTGACGTAGCGGGCGGTGGTCTCGGCGGACTCGGTGTGGTGACACGCTGCGGCGGTGGCGGGGGTGCTCGAGGAACCGAGGACTCCCTCGAGGGTCCCGTCAGCGGGGTCGCATCCCCTGGCTCGATGGCCTCCTCCACGACGGGACCCACCACCTCGCTCAACCGACCTCCCAGCCTGCTGATTTCTACCTTCGACTTGAAGGACACCTCCTTTCCTTCCTCCCGCGACGTTGGGCACCGATGTGCCACCCTCTTCACTGTCGAAACTCGTTCCTTCTCGTCGAGCTACGCGATATCTCGCGATAACGCACCCTCTCCGTGACGGGAGAGCGCTGTACGTAATATGACGGTTCTCGGTAGCGATCGATAAGCGGGCAAAGAGACGCACTCGGGGCACGGATACGCAAATATTACTGCTCTTTCGCTCGACGTGATACCACAGCCTCTGTATCTTCCGTATCGCCGAAGATGTCACGCGGCAAGATGTCGTCGGTGCGCGCAGAAGATGTCGGTTGTTCCGCAAAATGGCGAGCGATCGATGCTTCACCACCCTCCGCCTCTCGGGAGGGAGGATGAGCCGTCAGGTGAACGAAAACACTGGAGCGACGCACTAAGCCACCCTTACTCGATACCCTGTGACTCTTGGCTCTTCGCGTGATCCTTCGTATGACTCGTTTCCTCTCTCACGACTGCTTCATCCTGACACTCTCTCAAGCCGCACTCTCGAGTCGCACTTGTCGAAGCACTTGTTCTGAACTTTCTCGGACACGCGGTCGGAAAAGCGTGTCGGAGTCGCGGTTGAAGTGTAGGGCTCGGCTCAAAGGATCTTTTGTTGAAGGAATCGCTTTCGTATCCTTTTGTATCCTCCTACTTCTTCTTTGCTTCGTGAAGCGGCTCGGTCTTTCCCAAGAGATGCTTTCGACAACGCGCGCGCTTCGCCGCAGCCTCGAGTACGCCTCGAAGCTGCACTCGTAGGTTCTCCCCGAATGATGAGCGTGGTGTGTGAATAGCTCTCGCGGCGGACTTTACGGAGGTCGAAAACAAACACAACGTGCGCGCTCCTTCAGCAAGGTAGTGAATAACGGCTGGCCACTCTTTGCCTCTCACACGACAGGCGAACTATTCCTCTCCGTCGCGCGGCGAGCTTCGCTGGCAGTCTGCTGCGCTCGTCCTCGGCGACGTCGACGTCGCCGCCGTCGTCTTCGTCGTCGTCGGTCGGCCGTGCGTCCACCACCTACGTCTACGGCCAACCAAGACGTAGCACGCCCCGTTACTGTTATCGGTGCGCGCGCAATGGTTCGATAAACGCGGCACGTCGATCGTTGGGGATGGAAGCGCACGGAGAGTGCTAGAGAAAGGGAGGAAAAGAGAGAGACGAGCGTGGCAAGAGCGAGAAATAGCGTGAAAGGGTGCGCGCGAAGGGTGGACGAGGGAGCGTAGGGGGCTGCATCGTCGCGAAGGTGAGACGGAAAGGGCGCGGGGTGAGCAGAGCGAGAAGGACGGAAGGACGCGAGACGTGGAGAACGAAAGAGGGTGGCGTGGACGCGCGGCGCGAGAAGGGCTAGAAGGAAGGGCGCGGGCTCGTCGCATGTGTCGTGTAGGTGGCTAGGTATGACTGTGTATGACGGCTGAACTTTTGTCCGCCGTAACCCTCTCCGGGGGTTCCCGTAGGGAGAGGTCGCGGGACTGTACTTTCTTTCTCTCTCTCTCTCTCTCTCTCTCTCTCTCTCTCTCTCTCTCTTTCTCTTGAATCAGCCGCGGAAACGGCCAAGTCCTTCTCTCCTCGGTCGGGGGTACTTTTCAGGAGGGGCTCATCGGCGGCTCGTGAACGTAGGTCGAGATTTTCCGCCGAAGAGAGGACGCGAGAGAAAATGAATGAAAGTGGGACGCGCGCGCGGCGCGGCACGGCGCAGGACGCGCCGCGTCGCGTGTAAATAAGCGCGACCTGGCTCGCGGGTAAATATTGAAACTCGCCGAAGCTCGTGTAAGCCGCGGTGAGACCGCAGGGATAAACATTAATCGCTCACAGCGCTCTCGCGAAATGCGAGGATGTTGAGACGCGAATGAGACATCTTCTAAGAAAGCAAGCGCATTCCCGAACTGATCGCGGTCTCCGCGGGATCTTCGACTCGTCCGAGATTCGGCGTGCCTACGGCGCGAAATGTACGCTACGTGGCCATATGAAAAGATCAATATACGTACACGTACGATACCGTGGGAATTTGAGTACTCAAATCCCACCTCGTTTCATCGAAATACCTGAATACATAAAGGGTATCGTTCATGGGACGATAAAAAATGCAGTTTCGTATCTGTCTACGTAAGAAGAAGGTTACGAGAAATGATTATCGATATGTGTTCTTCGTGGGACTTGTAATCTTAATCTTATCTTCAAGTATTATATTATGGTGATATGGAATAGTCATAATCTTAAATATAGAATAAAGAGAAGTGACTGATAAAAGGGATGGACATAATTCCTAAATGAAGAGATAATATCAATATATGTACACGTACGATATCGTGGGAATTTGAGTACTCAACCTCGTTTCATCGAAATACCTGAATACATAAAAGGTATTGTTCATGGGATGATAAGAAATGCAGTTTCGCATCTGTCTACGTAGGAAGAAGGTTACGAGAAATGATTATTGAGATGTGTTCCTCGTGGGACTTGTAATCTTAATCTTATGTTCAAGTATTATATTATGGTGATATGGAATAATCATAATCTTAAATGTAGAATAAAGAGAAGCGACTGATAAGAGGGACGGACAATATATTGACCGATAATTACGCATTTACATATAGTCCGTCGTATGTAAGATCTACATAAATACCGTAAGATAAGAACTGTGTCACATATTGTCAGACGCATGACATTCGATAAAATGCAGCGAGCTTCCTGTGACGAGTGACCTCGATAGCAATGCGTTGATAATAGCCCATTATTTACATTTTTCGAATGCATAACGTCGTCAGCGAATTCCTTTGAATTCGCGTCCCGGATATAATTGCATTGGCGGGATGACCGAAAAATCGGAAATCCGATTTAACATGCGGCGACGAGCTCCGCTCGCGGCAATTTCGGCGGTTTTCGCATCAAAAATATATTAAACGCCGGTCTAAAAAAGCAGTGCTCGATAAACCGCTGATATTGGAATTCACGTGCGCGAGAAAAAGTTGGCGTCGCTACGAGAGCAATGAGAGAGAGTTCGGTTGCTGTAACTTGCGGATGCACCTCGCCCTGAAAAATGAGGCCTGTCGCTAGAATCCCCCGCAAGTTGTAAACATACAACTCGAACGAGAGTCTTTGTTGTTATACTCCAACCCGCCGCGTAGCTATAAATTTTATTACGCGTAGCATCCGTTAGATAAGGCGAAGACCGAACGGTGCATCTTAGGAGCAGTCGGTGTAATGCAGGTCGAGCCCCGGTGGGGCCCCGGCTGAAGGGTTGGGAGGGGTTAAAATTTCACGTAACCTGCTTTTCTTGGTAGCTGGAACAAGGTCAGTGTGGTGCAGCTTCGAAGGGCGACGATATGGGTGGCGGCGCGGGCCGGGCAGGTGGAAACGCGCATATGTGCACATGTGCACTGAGGACATGCTGTTCTCTCACTCTCTCTCTCTTTCTCTCTCTCTCTCTCTCTCTCTCTCTCTCTCTCTCTCTCTCTTTCACGTGCGCACGGGCGGACACACCGACCTCGTGTGTGCACGCGATGACAGGATACTCCGCTCTCCTCTCTGCACGAGGATGCGCGTAATAATGTCGCATTGTGTGTCGCGCTCGTGGACGTCTGAGGCCGTTGAGGAAGGTCGCGGAGGCTTCCCCGCTGCTCCTGCCGTTCGTCGCGTTGATATGCCGCGCGTAACATCACGAAACGGATCATTCGACGCGTTTTTCGCGAGTCCCAGCGACGCCGAACCGGCAGCGTCAAGACGTTAAAATAACGAATCGATGACCCGGCGAGAAAAATGTGATATCGCGACGGCATTGAATCGAGACGCAGCCGACGATCGATGAAGGGAGAACGAAAGATCAGAGGGAACATCGGTCGCCCTTACTCTTGCCGCTGCGACTAGCGATGACGCCGCGACGATAATTGCGCCCTTTGACTGGACGCACGAAAAGGGTAGTTGCGTGGAAATTAGGTTGAAGCTTCCCCGTGAGAAAGCTAATGTCTCGATTTAATGGCGGTTAATAGCGAGCATTCATTATGGAGATTCGCTTATGACCGTCGATGAAGAGGAAGAAGAAGACGAAGGAGAGAAAGATGGAAGACGAGCGGAGCTCGTCGGGAGACGAGTATTTATTAAAAGATGAATCTTCGGGCGCGCGAGGGGAGTTGCAGCTGCCAGCGCATATTGATTTCCTCTTGGATTTAAAAGCGCCTCTCGGACGAGGAAAGTTATTTTCGCTCGTGTCGGAAAATAGAACTGTGATTAGTAAATGCTACATTTGCGCGTCGTCGTGTAATCAATTGTGTATCTAATCACCGACGCTTCGATGAGAGAGAGAGGGGGGAGGAAAGAGAGAGAGGGAGGGAGGGAGGGAGGGAGGGAGGGAGGGAGGGGGAGAGAGAGAGAGAGAGCCGGGAGGATCTCGTGTTAGTTGTGAGTATATGTTTTAATAATTGGCGACTGGGGTAATTATTCTTGCGCTGCACGTGCGATGGAAAATAAATCTCACAAAGAATTTTGTAGCTCGAATGGCTGTCTGCCACTTTTCCCTGAAGATTTCGGGAATTTCTTGTATACATATAATATATCGCTGATCTATGAATATGCATTGCTTGGGGAACGTTATCAAGCTATTCAGGTCATTTATGTACATTTCATTAATTCGCGAGCATCGTCCGGCCATAGCTCGAGCGTTTGAGAGTTCCGCGCGCGGCGATGTATACATGATCGTGTTAAAGTACGTGGAATATCCCGTATATTAAATTCCATCAAAAGGTACGCTCACGCCGCTCGAATCGCTTGTAAAAGACGCGTTAGCTCGAGAAATGCGGTGAAAGTGCACGCGGGGTTGCTAGGGATGGGATAAAAAATTGTGAGAAGTCTTCTTCGGAGTTAGGGAAATAGATTCAACGTTGAGGGACTGAGTATAGCAGAGAGAAGAGTAGAGGGAGGAGAGGAGCAGAGGAATCTTCATGATCTCTCGGCTTTAAGGGATTTCCCGAGCCGTCTGACCCGGATGGATCCTCGACGATATCCTGTTTTCCCTGTTCTCTGCGGATAGGCGATTTCAGAACGTGTGCATCTCATTAATATCAAAGCTAGAAAATTATCCGTTATTCGAGAGCCCGGAAAATTTTGTACGCAATCACGTCGGCCCTAATATGTATATAATACGTCGACGAATTCAATCATAATAATTTCGATTTCGAGAATTCACGCTTCTTAATATCGATTTAATATTTAAATAAACTGGAGAATGAGAGAAACAAAAAGAGAGACGAATTGCGTCCTGCATGTGTACGAACTCGAGAGAACTGCACTGAGAGAAAACAACAGTTAGTTTCACTGTGATTTATAATTATTTTCGACGTCAATGAAATCTTACTGTTGTTTTAATAAGAAAATAATAGCAGCAATATGCGGATATAAACGGTAATATAATAGCAATATAATAGTAATATAATAGTAAATGACTTTCCCGATTATAATTATGTCACCGTATAATCATAATCATAAATACCAAACACTTTTCTCTTAGTGTGTGAATATGTATCTGAGTTTGCAAAATTTGTGACGAAGTTCAGACATGTTCGACTTAAGTTTTAATTTGAAAAATCGACGCCGTTAATAGTTGACGAAGCGCTAAATTATGTTTCGAACCTCTCTCGAGAGAACGTCGCTCTCCGCCGCGAGATTCACGTCGGCTGCAGTAGTAAAATCCGTGCACGGTCAGACACACGATACGCAGTCTCGTCCGGGGGGACTCGTCGCGAAATCAAGGCATAAACTTCCGCATCCTACCGAGGAATATTAAAATCTTTCTCGGAACCGTTTTCATCTTCCACGAGCTAGCGATTTTCCAGTTATTATCCAGATTCCCGGTTCGGTGAACAAAAGTAAATAAGTGAAGCGCAATCAATAAAATCCCACACGTCCTACTTTCATTTACCTTATCGTTCACAATTTTTTATAATTAATCGACCGTGCGTCAGAGACAGAGAGTGAGAGAGAGAGAGAGAGAGAGAGAGAGAGAGAGAGAGAGAGAGAGAGAGAGAGAGAGAGAGAGAGAGA